TAGTGCCCGTTTCCTTGGTGGTCAGTGAAGTGCTCTGTTACATTGGTGGTCAGTGGAGTAGGACCCTTAGGTTAGTGGGATGTGGAGAAGGGCTCCATTACACTGGTCATCCGTGAGAAGAATGTTCCTTACATTGCTGGTGCTCCTTTATAGATCACTGAAAATATCATAGGTGTCAGTGGTAACTTATGTGGGAGGCATATATTGTTGCTTGCTCAAGGAACCCCTAGCAACCTCTGAAGGAATGCTAGGTTTCCAGGGAACCTTGATTGAGAAAGGCAGCTTTAGTCACTACTCATAGCTCTTGCATTCTACAATATCAACATAGGTTGTACCAGCAGACAAAGAGGTATGATGTGGTTTGTAGAGATCATGCAAATAACTCAAGGATTCTGATGAATCTGTTTCATTTTGTTTAATTTAAAAAAAGTGGTGGACAAAAATTGTACAGCCAAACTAGCAGAATTTTTAGGCAAAGTGAGAGACCAAACTATTTATTAAACATTAAAATCACAACAGACAGAATAAAACATGAAATCCAGGACACCCTATCAAGGAGGAAAGCGACAGCTAGTGATAATCAGTCTGGGGGGGGGGGGGGGGGCGGACATAGGAGACTCAAATGTAGATCACTCAGGCAAATAGCCAGGGAGCCGATCAGCATGCATCTAGAATCCTATAAAGGGAGCGCATAAGACCTCCAGCGAGATGTATAAATATTTATGGGTATAAATCTACTTATTACCAAACACTTTAACCTAATATATCAACTAGTACTCACAATGATCATTAATTGTTGCCACATATAGACAGAGTAAATTGTAGATATACATAGAAATTTAACTAGGATAGATTCATGTATGTCTTTAGTAATCACCCCATAATGTGAATAATGTGCACAGGGCGGACTGACAACTCATGGGGCCCCCGGGCAATAGGGGATCATGGGGCCCCATGTCCTCGCCCACTCTCAAAAAAAGCCTATAAAAGTACCAGGGGCATTTCATGGGGCCCCTTACTGACCCCAGGCCCCCGGGCAGTGCCCGAGTGTTCGAATGGTCAGTCCGCCCCTGAATGTGCATATTCTCTACAATAATGAGTGGCACAAACTAATTTCCAACAATTTATATAACATATTTCAGAGTGAATTTTCAGAGCTACTAATGGCAGCCTACCATCAGTCCGGGACTGGCCATAGGGTACACCAGCATTTGCCCGGCAGGCCAGGACCGCCGGGCTTATTCTGACCGGGCCGCACAGCGGGAGGTAAACAGCAACCGCGGTCTGGACAAGGCTAAAACAGACTGTGGCCACCGCTCACCTCCCACTGTGCAGCTGTGCCCAAAGCAGGGCCGACAGGAGGAGCGACAGTGACAGCTCCTGAAGACAAACAGGAAGCTCCGCTGACACACGGACACCTCCTTGGCCGGCCGCTGCACTGCAGGAGTACAGCGGCCTCTCTTCTCCACCCGCGGCCACCGGCACACTGTGACAGGTCTGTAGCGGTGGTGAATGGGGCTGTCTCTGCTGGATGGGCTGTCTCTTTGCTGGATGGGCTGTCTCTTTGCTGGATGATCTGTCTCTTTGCTGGATGGGCTGTCTCTTTGCTGGAGGACCTTTCTTTTTGCTCAATGGGCTGTCTCTTTGATGGATGGGCTGTCTCTTTGCTGGATGGGCTGTCTCTTTGCTGGAGGACCTTTCTTTTTGCTGAATGGGCTGTCTCTTTGATAGATGGGCTGTCTCTTTGCTGGAGGATCTGTCTCTTTGCTGGATGAGCTGTCTGTTTGCTGGATGGGCTGTCTCTTTGCTGGATGATCTGTCTCTTTGCTGGACAGCTGTCTCTTTGCTTGATGAGCTCTCTCTTTGCTGGACGACTGTCTCTTTGCTGGAGAGGCTGTCTCTTTGTCGGATGAGCTGTCCCTTTGGTGGAGGGGCTGTCTCTTTTCTGGATGGGCTGTCTCTTTGCTGGAGGAGCTGTCTCTTTGATGGATGAGCTTTCTCTGCTGGATGGGCTGTCTCTTTTCTGGAGGGACTGTCTCTTTGTTGGATGAGCTGTCTCTTTGCTGGAGGGGCTGTCTCTTTGCTGGAAGAGCTGTCTCTGCTGGAGGGGCTGTGTCTTTGCTGGAGGGGCTGTCTATTTGCTGGATGGGCTGCCTCTTTGCTGGACGGACTGTCTCTGCTTGATGGGCTGTCTCTGCTTGACTAGCTGTCTCTTTACTGAATGGCTGTCTCTTTGCTGGATGGGCTGTCTCTTTGCTGGATGGGCTGTCTCTTTGCTGGATGAGTTGTCTCTTTGCTGGATGGGCCGTCTATTTGCTGGACTGGGCTGTCTCTTTGCCCAGTTGGGTCCAGCAAAGAGACATCCCAATCCAGCAAAGAGACAGCCCAGTCCAAGGAGGGACATCCCAATCCAGCAGAGACAGACAAGTCCAAGAAGGTTCATCCCCATCCAGCAAAGAGACATCCCTGTCCAGCAAAGAGTCATCCTGTCTTTGCTATATGGGGATGTCTCTTTGCTGGATTGGGCCAGCTCTTTGAATATATAGGGGGCACTGTGATTGGGTCTCTAGGGGCACAGTAATGTAAAGGAGCACTATGATATACAGGGGACTGCGCTGTAAAGGGACACTGTAATCAATACGGTGCCCCTTTACAGTACAGTCCCCTTAATATCACAGTGCCCTTTATATTACAGTCTGGGCCTGCCTACCATAATGGGGTGATCACTAATGACATACTGTACATGAATGACATACATGAATCTATCCTAGTTAAATGTCCACGTATACCTACATTTTACGTGCTACCAAAAACTCATAAAAATGTAAGTCATCCCCCAGGTAGACCTATAGTGTCGGGTATTGGTTCTTAGACTGGACTAGCTAGTCACTTGGTTGATATATTTACGCCCTCATGTGACAGCATTACCATCTTATATTCAAGACACTCCCAACCTAGAGGGGATACAAGTACCCACCCAAATACAAAACTGGCTGCAATTGATATAGAAGCTCTGCATAGTAGCATACCTCATTCTAAAGGCATATCAGTGATAAAATGTTTTCTTAGGAAAGACCCCAAGAGGCGCATACATGCAGTGATTTTGTATTAGCTCTCTAACACATTCTGACCAGGAATATTTTCACGTTTGACGACTCCCACTACCTCCAGGTGCAGAGAGTGTCAATGAGGACATGTTGGGCCACATCGTACGTGAACCTGTACCAGAGGGGGTGGGAGTGTATGCTTTTTTTCGGATGAGAGGTTTAGTACATTTTGGTCAAACATGTTATTGTGGCTTCGTTACATAGATGATGTTATTCTTTTGTGGCTAGGATCCACTCAGGAGTTTATGTCCACATTAGGTGAAAATGATTTAAACTTAAAACCTTTCAAATGAATGAAAAATCCACTTCATTTCTGGACATTCAAATAATAATACTCAATGTTGGCACCTTTCGTACCACCTCGTATCGTAAATCAACGGCAGGAAATACTATTTTACATGCAGATAGTTTCCATATAAGGCCATTGATACAGAGCATACATTACACCTGAGAGTTCGACGCATTTGCTCTAATGAACTACATTCAAAAAAAGTGGCAGATGCATTACGAGATAGTCTTATACAAAGAGGGTACTCACGTACTACACTTTGAAAGGCATACAATAGAGTATTCTGACGACCAAGGGAAGAGATTTTGTTTCAGAAAAAGACACACTCCAATCTGAACATGGTTAGATTAATCACCCCATTTACTAGACAACATGGGATAATACGCAAGATCCTCCAACAACATTGGTGCCTTCTAATGAATGACAGCATTCTAAGAAAGTATATCAAGGACTATCCAGAAATCACTTATAAAAGAGAGCTCCATCTGTTAGGGATGTATTACTAGGAGTCCCTTTGCACAGGAGAGATGATTGATGAATGATTGCCAAGTATGTGGTATCTGGAAATGTGGCAAGTGTAATTTTTGTAATTGGATCTATGAAAATCATTCATTATATTTATCTATTGGCCAGCTCCACTCTGTTCAACACTATGTAGATTGTCAAAATATTGGCATAGTCTATATTATGTTCTGTGAGTGAGCATTCTATGTGGGTAAAACTAAATGCCAATTTTGGCGGAGGAATAAAGATCATGTCTAGTATATATATAACAACTTATTGTCCACTCCCATAGGAAGGCACATAGGACTATGCCACAGAAACAATACAGAGGTAGTTAGGCTTGCAGCACTGGAATGTTTTAAAGAGAATCCAAGAGGAGGTAACTTTGACAAATATATCATACAACGAGAAGCTTGATGGATATACCGTTTGAAGGCTACAGCCTTTTCTGGCCTGAACAAAACTTTGAGTTATAATATTGAGTTGTAATATTGTGGGATTACTGTCACACTCATTGGATGATCCATCTACCCTTTGATATGCAATGGGACGGATCCAATATTCAGTTGTGCTCTATTTTATCTTACCATGTTATATAGACTGATTGTGAATACTGTACAGGTTAATTATAAGTTATTGTATTTGTGTACACTATGTTTACAAGACACATTTTAGTACGTGTGTTTTTTCTGTGGGTTCTATGGGTCTTTTATCAGTCAATATTTAGTCTTGGGGTGGGCATACAGTATATGTCCGTCTACTCTCCCGTACTGGGAATGTGATATTGGGGCTGGCCGCCGTGTCCCTGGTCCTTCCAGGGCCTCTTGGCGGCATTGCCCTTGTCAGTTCACCTGCGCCATTCTATCCTTGTTCAGCACATGCGTGCCCTTCCTGTGGACTCGACATGCGTATGACGTCACTCACGCAGCCACACTTTTGGTGGACACACGCCACACTACTGCGGCCGGCTGTGATTGGCGTGATGGGGGTACTCGTTTGGGGCACCCGACATGGGACTCAGGCGTGAGCTGCAGCTATCCATAAGGATGTGGATCTAAGGCAGGGCTTAAAATTTCAAGGCCAGGCCTTAAGAGTTACTCGCCACCAAAAAACACACACAAAACAGAAACACCTGTACACACACACACAGACATGTACATACACACACAGAAACATGCACATACATGCACAGAGGCACATGTACATACACACACATACAGACACATGTATACACACACAGGCACGTACAGACACGCATACACACAGATACATGTACATACACAGAAATACACATGCACAGACACATGTACATACACATAGATACATGTACATACATACACAGACACATGTACACGCAGACACATGTACGTACATACACACAAACACACACACACGTACATGCACACACACACAGACACATGTGCACACACACAGACACATGTACAGACACATGTACAGATACACACATGTACATACACACAGACACATGTACATACATACACAGACACACACAAACAGGTACATGTACACACACACACACCCCCATAAAAAGTTGCAGTACTTCGCTGTTCACTCACAGAGCCGGGTACTGCACTCTAGGGGGAGGCAGAGAGCACATCACACACTCCTTCCTTTCACTACGCTCAGCTATTGAGCAGTCTGACGGCTCCCAGTGCCAATGACAGATCCTGAGCTCCAAGCCTGCTCAGCAAGATGGCCCTGGGGGGCGCACTTGCCCCCACCATAATTTCCACTCTCCATTGGCGAGCAGGCAAATGGAAATTTCAAGCCCTGATCTAAGGTATATTGTTTTGGCAAGTATACTGGAAGATATATATGGTCATTTATTCTAATGTAGCACTCATGCTACTTTATGGCTTTTTGTAGGGGCTCTCTATAGACATCAGGTGCAAGTTTATATTGTTGGTCATCTGGTCACCTTTATGTTTGTGACGGAGGTTAAGTATTATATTGAGAGATATATATAGTGAGTTATTGCACCTTATAAGCTATTAGAATATCTTTTGAGTATATTATTCTGTTTGTGGTACTATAGATGACCTCTATTTCCAAAATATACCATTGGCTTTTATCTGATGGGACATTGGTTGTCCGACTTTGGAAATCATGGACTGGAACATATACTGTTTATCTGTCCAGCCATCCCCCTATTACTACCTAGCCATACAAGTAAGTTTATCTTCTATATATATAAAATATGGCTTTAATCCTTGTTCAGTATATATCTAATATACAATGTGTTGTTTCTAGTCCTAACCACGCTTTCTTGGTTACATTTGTGCATTGAACTTCCATTTGCTTCCACATTTTCAATTTAAATTACTCCGTCTATATGTGGGAACAATTAATAATGATCATTGTGAGTACTAATTTATATAATACGTTCAAGTGTTTGGTAATAAGTAGATTTACACCCATAAATGTTTATACATCTTGCTGGAGGTCTTATGCGCTCCCTTTATAGGATTCTAGATACATACAGATTGGCTCCCTGGCTATTTGCCTGAGTGATCTACATTTGAGTCCCCTATGTCCACCCCCCAGACTGGTTATCACTAGCGGTCGCTTTCCAATGTAAGCCCAACAATAATTGCTTGGATATTATATGTATATGTTATATCATTTTGCTTTATGTAATTGATTGTGCACATATTTTTAGTTTTTTGTATTCTATATATAGTAGTACTACTGATTCCCTTTACATAGAAGTCATGGTCCTGAAGAAGCCATACCCACAAGTAAAATGCATTGACCGTTTCTTACTGTAGAGTTATACTCTTTGAGAAGAAGAACTATTTTCCCAAGGTTATATGTACTACATATGATGTAAAAGGCAATGCCAGGAAACTATTCCCCTCCTTGATAGGGTGTCCTGGATTTCATGTTTTATTCTGTCTGTTATGATTTTAATGTTTAATTAAATTGTAATTTTTTAACATGATAGTTTGGTCTCTCACTACGCTTGAAAAATCCGCCAGTCTGGTCATACAATTTTTGTCTGGCACTTTATAAAATATATTTGGGATGTGGCACTAGGAAGCTTATTATTTTATATTTTGTTTAATCAGTTTTCTAATTGTCGTCCAAAATAGATTGGGCAACTATTTAATGTTTATTCGCTACCCACAGACACCACTGATAAGGGAGTATTGGGGGGAATCGTGACTAAAAGGTCCTTAGCAACTGATCCACTATCTTCCCCAATGAACCACAGCTGGAGGCAGTGCCAGGACTAGGTAATTTAGTGCCCAGGGCAGAGATGCCAAACTGTGTCCCCCCCCATTCGTGTGATCTTAGGGTATCTGTTTAGGGGGTGCGCAACTAGCACCTCCTCCCAGCGCTGACCTGCCAGGAGTAGTGATGTTGCTGTTACTACTCCTGTCAGCCTTGTAACAGATGGAAATGAGTACAGGGTGCCCCCATCCCTGCAACCCTGCATTAAACTATTGCGCCCAGGGTAGCTTCCCCTCCTGCCCACCATTTGTCCCAGTCCTGGCTGTAGTGTCTGTACGGTGATTCCCATATCCCACAGTTGTAAATGCATAGCTGGGGTAAGATTTCTCCTCCCTGTTTGACCACCCTTAGGCCTATGGCACGCTAGCAATGCTGGCAACAACTCACTAAGGTTAAGACCACAGGAAAATACTTACCTGTTTATACTGTGTAACTGTATCCCTGATCAGATGATTGAGGTGTAGCTCCTTCGCTGATGAAAACTCTACACAATGTCACCCGTTTACCATGGAGTGAAGCTTCACTCTATGGTCAGTCAAGGTGTGACACTGTGAAAGCAGGTAACAGGGGCGGACTGACAACTCATGGGGCCCCCGGGCAATAGGGGATCATGGGGCCCCTGTGTCTTTGCCCAAACTCAAAAAAGCCTATGAAAAAGGTACCAGGGGCATCTCATGGGGCCCCCTACTGACCCCGGGCCCTCGGGCAGTGCCCGAGTTTCCAAATGGTCAGTCCACCCCTGGCAGGTAAGCACTGTAAAGTACCTCTATGCCAGCAATAGGATGGCCAGCTTGACATTTCCTTTACTGTTTTTTGAAGCTTTGTTGTAGAGTACAGACAGAATGGAACAATTCTTACAAACAGAGAAATACCCAGTGGGGTGTACAGATAAGCAGTGTGACTTGCTGAGACAATTCACAGCGCCAGAGTCACTAAAATAGAAGGTGTTACATCTGGGCTTGTTTCATTGTGAAATCTAGGGGCCTGCTGGAAAACTATGTACATGATAGTAAACCTTTGCCTTTGAAACAATGAAAAATGGGCTGCCTCTTTAAAGCTTTACTTTAATCTTATCAAGGAATATATGAATTATGATAATACGGCAGTGAAAAGACGGTGTCAGCAGAATCCACTTCAACCCCATATCACGGCACGATTATTCTCACAGTTGAGAGTTATATAGTGTTAACGTAAATGTTTACATGAGTGTTAGAAAAATACAGTCCTGAAAGCCTTTACTGACAGGCCGAGACAGATAACATGCTTAAAGTTAATATCTGCAGGAAAGAAAAACAATCATGATTAGAGGCTCATCACATCCTGCATTATACAGCTCCTGCCTGTGTACACTGGCTGATTACTCAGTGAGGGTAACTTATTCATGTATTAACTCATTGCTGGAAATGTAGTCTACTGAGCTGCAGTTTAGTTTTAGTTTTACTGGAAAAGAATGACTACTTATTTCTAATAATTGAAGAATGATCATTAAAACTAAGATTTAATTTGCTTATATTTTGCCTTCCCTGGTTCCACCTTACTGCCCTCATTAACATGCTAATGACATTTTTAAATAACACATACCTTATTTTAGACTAAGTGATTTGCCACTGGGTCTCTGTGATTCTCTTTGCAATGTATGCAGATTATAGCAGGTGGAAGGGATCTTCAGGGTACTGTACATAGCTATAGCCTTTTTCAGTATACCAAGAGCCCTCAGCCCTGATTCAAGTGGGGGCTGACTCTTGGGAGAACGTATGCAAATATCAAATGCCTTGATGCGTGAATACCAACCATTTTTAGCTAGGCTGCATTTGCATGCAGACTGTTCAAGGTATTGCTCACAACACCTCATAATTTAATGAATTGAAATCCAATGGATAAAAAGGGCATGCCAGGGACCGTTAGGCTGGGGAGGAAAGAAATGACGCTAGATGTTCTCCAGCCAGGAACTATCTTCTAATACACAATGTAAGAACTTTTTGAAGAGTTACAAGACTACTGCCTATATGTGTTACTGTTTAAAGTGCTTCTAAAGCTAAAACTTTTTTTTACATTAATGCATTACCTGCATTGAGGCAAAAAATGTTTTAGGACCTGCTGTGCCCCCTCCCCCTCTAAACACTTACCTCACTCCTCAATCTATCCAGTGCTGTGCCTAGCTGCAGTGTTCTCTCCCTCTTCACTCGGGGACTGACAGGCAGCAGCAGGAGCCACTGGCTCCCACTGCTGTCAGTCAGATTCAGTGAGGAGAGAGTGGGGGCCCGAGCCACATTGTGTGTGCCTATAGACCAGTGTTTCTCAACTCCAGTCCTCATGGACCCCCAACAGGTCATGTTTTCAGGATTTCCCTCAGATGAAACAGCTGTGGTAATTACTAAGGCAGTGAAACTGATCAAATCACCTGTGCAAAATAATGGAAATCCTGAAAACATGACCTGTTGGGGGTCCATGAGGACTGGAGTTGAGAAACACTGCTATAGACACACACAGTGCGGCTGTGGATCGAGCCTGCACAATGGCCCCCAAAGCAAGCATCTTGTTATAGGGGCAGTAAGAGAAGAGGAGGAGTCCAGAGCACTGGTGGAGAACCCCAGAAGTGGAGGTTTGGGACTGCTCTGTGCAAAACTATTGTACAGAGCAGGTAAGTATAACATGTTTGTTTGAAAAAAAAAGCCTTTACAATCACTTTAATGACCTACCCTTGACATTCTGGACACATTCATATTTTATTTTCAGCAAATTCGTGTGACCTGATTTTAAAAGGCTATTTTATGGTCTTCCAGTTTTTTTAGGTAAAGGTTGTGAAAGTGACCCTGTGATAAAAAAAAAAGAAAGAAACAGCTGCTATCAAGTAGAGTACAGGTACAAAACAGAGGATCCTCAAGTCAAATACTTATTTGGTCAAGCCTACATAAAACGAATGGGATCCATGTCAAAAAATGTTTGTATGCCTTAAAGGTTCTGCTAAATATTCAATTGAAACTGTTTTGTAGTATCTATGTGAATAACTAAAAAAAATACATTTCTTTATAGTTCATTATAGTACACATGGTCAGAATTAATTCGGAAACAAGTAGGTATACTGAAGAAAAAAATGCCAGCCACCGTATTATGTGTGAATGAGCCTTGACCATCTCAGTGTTTAAGGACAAGAGACTTGAAACCCTTTCCAAGGCTTTGCTCTCCCTGGCAACTTATCATTGCTTCCATGTCCATTTGCCAAGCGTTGGGCATATAGACCAAGGATGTGGCTAATGCACCTGAGTTCATTCTAACTGATCCTTCAGTATTCAAACAATTGGAACTAACACCTGTTTTCTTACACTACTGCATTGATTGACTTGTGGATATTGTATGTCTCATTTCCAGAATGAGTCTACTGTCCTTGCATATACAGGTGACTCTTTCGCTAAAAGTTTACTCTGCAGAACAGCAGTGCAAAACATGTTTTTTGGTGCCTCCCTGGACAAATAAAGCAAAAGAAACCTAAGCCTTAGGTTGCAAAACATCCTACTTCTGAAGCTAAGAAGAGTTT